GGGTGGATGGATGGATGGATGGGTAGGTGGGTGGATGGATGGATGGGTGGGTGGGTGGATGGATGGATGGGTGGATGGATGGATGGGTGGATGGGCGGGTGAGAGGGGTGGATGGATGGATGGGTGGGTGGATGGGTGGATGGATGGATGGGTGGATGGGTGGGTGGATGGATGGGTGGATGGATGGATGGGTGGATGGGTGGGTGGATGGATGGATGGATGGATGGGTGGGTGGATGGATGGGTGGGTGGATGGATGGGTGGATGGGTGGGTGGATGGATGGGTGGATGGATGGATGGGTGGATGGGTGGGTGGATGGATAGGTGAATGGGTCTATGTATATATGTCTGAGTGGGTGGGTGAGTAGGTGGATAGATAAATGGATGGATGGGTAGAAAACTGCAAGGTGTTTCTAGTCACTCCTTTTTAGTACACTCTGGTTTAGAGATAGAAAGCTGTGGGTGTATTTTTTTTACTTTATTTATTTGCTTTTCTAATTTGATAGTATTTTTAGGCATAGAAAACCTATAACAAAAGTGGTATAAGTCATTTAGAGTTCTTCCATCACAGCTTATAAGTAAAAGCAGACAATACTGACAAAATAGTACCTACAAAGACATCAACTGATGTTAAGCTAAATAGAACCTATTCAATATGATTCATTGAAAAGAAATCAGTCATTCTGGAAAAATAAGTCGAATGCTGATCCTGAATGAAGTGTACATGATCACAGTGGGATGAACAGAGATTACTTATTATCCCTTCAGAAAAATGCAGCCTAGTGGGATTCCATAAAGATTTCCAACGGGAACTCAGCATGTCTGGCTGCTTCGGTACTTTAAGACTGGCCTGCCTTCATTCCCCAACCGGAGGGTCTTCGGGTCTGCCACTCCATCCCACAGCTCCACGTTTGGCTTTCCCCAGCACTTACACATTTTAAATCCAGCATCCTCATTTTCCGGGTGGTGGTGGTGGTGCACTGAATGACGGTGTTAGCGTTTAGCTGCCCATCTCTCTTGAGCTAGAGGAAATGTAAGATACAGGAGGAATGCTGCCTTTTCTCTTTTGCTCATTCCTGTGTTCTAGGCATCAGAGCCATCTGTGGACAATGGCATGGGGCTGGCTGTGAAGAGATGTTCAGAGTTTGTGACTCAGGCTCCACAGTGCTTTTTTGTTGAGTTGATGCGGGTTACCTAGCTATTTGAATGAACTTGGGGTATATAGTTCCCAACAACATGGAATCATTTCCACTGTCCATGTCTAGAACATTTCATCACCCCAAGAAGAAGTTCTGCACAGTCAGCCCACATCCCTGTTCTGCAGGAGGCTGGAAATGTCCCTCTTCTTTCGGTCTTCATCTGATCTCTGTCGGAGTCTCACATCATTTGGATTCATTTTGGCATCATTTTTATGGTTGAAGTACAGTAGTTGCTTAAGCATTTCACAGCAATTTGAAAGTAAATCTGGATATGTTTTTAACAATGGACAATTTACACAAATAAACTCAAATGACACTTGACATAATCTCAAAAGCAATTGCCTTTGTAAAACATACTTAAACTAAAAAAGCATGGAATAATTGTATTTTACTTATCTACACTTATATAAGTAGTAGCTATTTAAAAAGACAAATGCTAGCCGGGCAGTGGTGGCGCACGCCTTTAATCCCAGCACTCCAGTGGCAGAGGCAGGCGGATCTCTGAGTTCGAGGCCGGGCTGAACCAATAGCCTCCAAAACAATACAGAGAAACCTTGTCTCGTAAAAACAAACAAAAAAAAAGACAAATGCTAATAAGAAAAATAAGTTGTTTTTGTTTTTTTGTTTTTTTGAGACAGGGTTTCTCTGTGTTGCTTTGGAGGTTGTCCTGGAACTCCTTCTATAGACCAGGCTGGCCTCGAACAGGAAAAACAAGTTTTTAAAAGAAAATGTAAAGTACTATGCCAAATGAACTGTATCCTCAGCCTCCTAAAAGCTTTTGTCTGTTTTATCTATTCAAAAACATTTGTGTGTGGGTAGGGGCCTGTACTGTATTCCTTTAATCTCAGCACTCAGGAGGCCCAGGCAAGTAGATCTCTGTGAATTCAAGGTCAGCCTGATCTACATGGTGAATTCCAAGACAGCCAGGGCTATGTAGAGAGAACCTGCCTCAACAGTCAAACATACATACATACATACATACATACATACATACATACATACATATGTGTTTAGTGTGTGTGTGTGTGTGTGTGTGTGTGTGTGAGAGAGAGAGAGAGAGAGAGAGAGAGAGAGAGAGAGAAAGAGAGAGAGAGAGAGCTTATGAAGTCCAGCAATGTACCATCCACCCCCTCCCTTTTTGAGACTTAGTTTCTCTAGGGCCTGGGGATCACCAACCAGGCTTTGCTGAGCAGCAGTTTAGCCCCAGGAATTTGCCTGTCTCTGCCTCCCTGGTAAAGGGTTTGCAATTTTGGGCTACCACACCCAGGTTTTCCTATGTGGGTTCAGGATGATCCCCTCAGCCCTAAAATTCATTTCGTGTTGTTTTGTTGCTTTTCAAGTTTTCTGTTACAAATTAAGACATAAACATTAACACAGGACTACACAGGGGCAGGACCATATCCTGTCCCATTGGAAGGTCTTCAAAGGTCGTAATATTCAAAAAGCTGTAACCTCCTATGATCACAATGCCTAGGATATTTCTTTCTTAGTTAGGGTTTCTGTTGCTGTGTTGAAATAGCATGACCAGAAGCAACTTTGGAAGGAAAGGGTTTGTTTCATTTTAAACTTCTAGAAGATAGTTCACCAATATGGGAAGTCGGGACATGAACCGATACAGAGGCTGTGGATGAGTACCACTTACTGGTTTGCTTCTCAAGTCGGGACATGAGCCGATACAGAGGCTGTGGATGAGTACCACTTACTGGTTTGCTTCTCAAGTCGGGACATGAGCCGATACAGAGGCTGTGGATGAGTACCACTTACTGATGGATGAGTACCACTTACTGATGGATGAGGACCACTTACTGATGGATGAGGACCACTTACTGATGGATGAGTACCACTTACTGATGGATGAGGACCACTTACTGATGGATGAGGACCACTTACTGGTTTGCTTCTCAAGCATTGGTCAGTCTGCTTTCCTAAATGTCCTAAGGCCACCTCGCAGAGGTGGCCACATGCTGGACCCTTCCACATCAGTATACCACAGGCTTACCCACAGGCCAGTCTGGTGGTGTCATTTTCCCAAGTGACTCTCCATCTTCTTAAATGACTCTAGCTTGGGTCAGGTTTATATAAAACTAGACAGTGAAATTTCCTAAAGATCTGCATGGATACACTCACAAGCAAGGCTGGGGAAGAGGGCAATGAGGGAGGACTCTAAAGAAACCATTGAAAGCATGGTATGGAAAATATATAAGCTAATAATGTAGTTATTACTATTATTATTACTATCATTCTCCAGTATTCTGTACTTTATGTAACATATGTGCCCTATGTGTGTCAGCACAGTAGGTTTGTGTGCACAGTGCTATCACAAGTATCCAAGTGACAGATACCTTGTACTATATGACATTACACTATAGTATTGTCAGGTAATAGGAATTTTTCACCTCTACTATAAGTTGACAGGCCCAACATTGTATACATGTGCACAATCCATTACTGACCAAATCTCACTACTCATGTAGGACTCTGTGCGTATATGGGAAAACTTGACTTATGCTAAAACCATCTCTAGACTGATAAAACACCAGTGTCCCCAAGTTAAAATCAAAACCGACCAAGATAAGTGAAATTTGTGAAGCAGTGTTTGGACGAAACTGTGAAATAGCTCGTACTGGAAAGCGTCAAGAAGGGGAGGCATTCTTCCTCATTGTTGGTGGAGAATGGAACCCAGTGCCTCAGCGTCTATTAATACATAAGGCCCTACATGCTACATAGCCTTCACAGTGTGTTTAACAAATGACATTGTCCTATATAAAGATAGATGCCCGAGTGGACCCACTGAAGCACCTCATAATGGGCAATGACTTCAGACTTCAGCAGGTATGTTGTGGTCTTTTGTCCTCTGGAGTGCTACACATCGTTAAAACAATTGTATGCATATTTTCTTGTTGAAGGACTGACCACTCGGTATTGCCAAATGCCAAACATGTTTGGAGTATTTACTGCCTATCCTATTTAGTAAGTTAGAAACACCCACACGTGCACGCGTGCACGCACACACACACACACACACACGCATGCACGCGCATACACACACACAAATGAGAGAGAGAGAGAGAGAGAGAGAGAGAGAGAAGGAGGGAGACAGATAGTCATATGCGAAAAGGGAAATATCAAATATAACAACTGCTCTGTTATCAGGAGTGAAAAGAGAGAGAGTAGTTGGAATTACTAAAGTTAATTCTGTGTCCATCGTTTAACTTGGTATAATTTTAATTTTAAAAGTCTCATAATTGATTGTACATGAATATAGACACCATTGAATGGACACAGGTAGGTTGGCTTTGAACTTGCGTGAGTACCATGCATCCTAGGATCAGAGTTTCAACATTGCTACGTTTGCTCAAAGATAAAGTCAGTCAGCAAGTTTCTCTTGTCCAATGTGCTGTAGCGCTACATATGGTTCTGAAATTGTAATTTGTCCCTACTTTTTCAATTCAGTCATTAGTGAACAAACTGGCTTGTGAAAGAAATCACCCTGAGCTAGACAGCAGTATGTCATTGTTGTCAGTGTTACGTTCTTCCTGTTTCACTATTGATAAACTACTCGATCTAACGGGTATGGTCCTTCTATGCCCATGACTAGCTATGGTCAAATCAAACAGTATCTCTCAACAACATTGACTGTTCTTGAGTGTGGTGCATGGCCCTGAACCCTCAACTTGGGAGGCAAAGATAGGGAGGATTGCTGCCCGTGAGACTCTTTTAAAAGTGTGTTGTTATCTGCAACAGACTTGTGATGTGTACATTCGATACAAAGATTGCTCATCGTTTTTCTCTCTTGTTTCAGAACGCTTCACGGTGTACAGCTCTAAAAGCCTCAGACAAGCATGGAATAAGTAAGTGTGTACACAGATGGTGCTCACCCTCCCCACTGTCTGTCTGCAACTCACTGAGTGAGTTTGTCACAGCGTGCTCTCATTCACTGGTGTGGCATCCATCCATTCACTTAAACACGAACTAACCCTTACTGCATACCACCTACGGTGGTTCGGGTTCTTAGTGTAATGCGGCATTGTATGAGAACTGTGAATTCTAGAATCTACTGTGGTTCACCTTGTAACTGAGTGCTGGGAAGTATGTAGTATTGGTAGAATAACACTTACAAAACACACTATAGTAACAGATTTCTAACACATGGTATGATGACTATTACTGAGTTAGATAAAAATGGATTTTTTCCCCAGTTTACCTACTTTCCCCTCTAAACCGCACTGGGGAGCTAGGTAAATTTATCACTTAAAGTATATATACTCTTTTTTTTCATTTCTCTCTTTCATCTGATCTTGTTGTAAGAAGGTCGGTGTGATGGTTTGAATGGTTGCCACACTGTCCTAACAAATTTAATTTAATCCCCAGAAGCTACATGGAGGTAGAAGGAGGGAGTTGACTCCCCAAAGTCATCCTCTGACCTCTGCATGCATGTGGCGGTACAGACATACCCACATACATGAAAATAACAAGTAAATAAAATGGATTTATTGGTTTGAAAACCTGATGAGGAAAACTTGGAGTTTAGAAGTCATCCAGGAGTCCTGATCGCATTCCAACCTGTTAGCAGATCTCTGCAAGAGGGAAAGCAGGCCAAGTTGTCCGCTTTTAGCTTTGACATCACCTTTCAAATTGTACACTGCCAAAAATGTAGCTGCAGTTCCTTTGATTCAGTAAATATCATTCATTCTAACATGCTAGTGTAGAGAATCTGGTAGAACAGTCTTTGTACTTTTGTGACATTTTAATTTGGGGTTTTGTTGATTATGACAATAATAGGAAATATTTTATATAAGAATGCATTTAATCAATGCTGTCAGCAGATACGGTGGGCAGCTGATAGTGAGAATCTCTCAGCATGAATATATTACATCCTGCAATAATTTAAAAGATTTAATCATTTTTAAGTTAATTGTGTATTTAGAAAAATGACTGGTATGATCATTTTTGCCTTCTACAAAGCTTTTCTTAAAAAACAATGCATATAGCTATTTTCATTATTAGGATTTTCATTATTAGGATACATTCATTGCACAAAGTGATAAATTCCATGGTACTTTTCTTAAAATGTATCATGTATTTTTCTCTTTCATTATTCATGGGTACATAAAGCTCCGTTGTATTTACATGCCACATTTTCTTCATGTCTTCATGTACTGATGGACACCAAAGTCAGCATCTTAAGTTGGCTGTTCTGAACCATGCCCTGCTAATCACAGCACATCAAGCATCTACTGTGTATGTTCCTGAGGGCGATATAGCTGGCTCATGCACACTCCGCATCCTAGCTGGCTCACGCACACTCCGCATCCTAGCTGGCTCACGCACACTCCGCATCCTAGCTGGCTCACGCACACTCCGCATCCTAGCTGGCTCACGCACACTCCGCATCCTAGCTGGCTCACGCACACGCATCCACTAGCTGTTCTATGATAATGAAGCAATGGTAAAGAAAGACACCAAAAGATACAGGAGATAACCAGAGAAAAGCCAAACATAAAGAAAAAATATCAGTTTAAAAATAAAAAAATATCATCACTAAAGAAAAAGAAGCCCTTTTCTTCCCTCATACTAAAAATGAATGATCCAAGAAGCTCTTCCTGAATTAAGGGGATCTGGGGATAAATTAAGGCAAATCTGAATTTCATAAAATTATGTCCTGTTTTTTAACTGCCTTCAAAATAGTCCATTTTATTTCATTGGAATTATGAAGACTCACTCTATTTCTCTTGTAAATCTCTCTATTTATACTTGTCTGACATTGGCATGTATGTGCAATCCACCAAGAATTTCAGCCACTTAAAAGATCTTTTATTATTTTGGCTGGCGAAAAGGCCTTCGTGCATATGCTCCAGCAAAGAGAAGGGTGAGATTCCAAGAATGCATTTGCTTGCTTTGGAGATTTTAAAAGCTGGACAATCTGGGAGGTTTGAAAGTTTTGAAATGGGAACTGAGGACAGCCCGCTAAGTCACAGAAGACACACACGTCTGGGAAATGCAGCTCCTGGCTGGTAAAGCGAGGCCCACACACATGAGATGGGGTCAGGCCGGCTCGTCCCTGCGCTGCTCTGAGGCAGCTCCTGAGAGCCACCCATCTGCTTCTTAAGCACAACTGGATTCCTCCTAGGAATGTGCACAGTTGGTGCTTTTAAATGCACAGTAAATACAAAGGCACCGATGAAGCAGCCTTTGGGCATGAGAAAGTAGAAAAGGAAACATCCCCGCTGTGCTTCTGTGTCCTGACCGATCCATGAGCCCGAGTTTGGAAAATGTAGAAGTAACCCCACGTTTAACCTCCAGGGTGTATTTTAAAGTGACCTGTTAGATAGTTGTCCCATATGTGCATAAAGCATCAAAGAGGAGGCGAAGTAGCATCGAAGGATCAAACTTTCACGTTCCGTATTTCTGTCAGGGGCAATCTACTGGTTTTCTTGCCATCCTATCTGACGTGGTGGGTCATTACGATTTAGACCAGCTCCTTCTCAAGAAACAGAAAGATCGTCTTTTCTACTCTGCCATGTTCAAAGTTGATTTAAAGCTACCTGATAAAACAATACACCATAAAGTAGACTAGAGATTTACATTTCTTGGCCAGCCTAGAAATACAATGAAGGTAAGAATGCTGTCGGTACACTAGGGGGAGCAGTTGAGTCAAGCCAGATCTTAAAATCGTCCACTTGAGCATTTTGTTCACTGTTGATGATTTTTGCTATAATTCTATTTACTTCAAAGTAGCAGTTTTAATTCATTCAGTGCCTGGAGACTTCCTTTCATAATATTTTCAAAGAAATTATTTTCTGCTTCATTGATTGGCTTTGGGGGTGGGGGTGCTTTTGGGGGTGATCAGCTCTACACCAGACATTTTGGAATCCCATCCTCTTAATTTGAGGATGGGGCTAGGATTGCCAGCTGCCTATTTTACCACATTCTGTTCCCTTGGAAATGTCAAATGTCATCTTCAACATATGAGCAAGCAGGTATCTTGTTTGGCCTTGGACACATACATGTGGTATGGTTTCAAGGCGCAGAAGGCTCCCATGCTTGGCGGAAGGCAGGTTAGAGCAGTTTCTGGGGACATTGGTTTTCAAGATAAAGAGCCATTAGTTCAGTTCCAGGGGTTGAATGAATCAGCCTAACAAATACCCGCACAATGTTTTGAGGAACATGCAGTTGGGATAGCTTTCATGACAAAGAGAAATAGCTAGTGTGTTTGCCGATTACTGATCCGCAACAGCAATATAAAAACAGAGTAGAGACGAATGATCAATGCAGTCGAAAAAAATCACAGCTTGGAATGTATGGGCAGCTGAGTTTTGTAAAGGGACTGCTGCACCTTCAATCCAGCTGTCATATGGACTTAGAAATAACCTGGTTCTATTTATTCTGAGCACATCTTTGGGTGGAAAGAGCTCTCCCAACATTGATGTCCTTCTCAGTCTGGGCTTCCTGCAGCAGAAGGAGCAGGAAAGAGTGCCAGGGTTAAAGAAGTGTTTGCAGATTTCTGAACACCAGCTCATGCCTTCTTGGTACCATTACTGGGGAGTGTCCTGTGGTGGGAGGAAGGTTGGACTTAGAACAGCTAAGTACAGGGGTTGACAGAGCTGCCAACCACCCACTTACTTCCTGCAAGGGAAACTCTTTACCTACTCCACAAGCCCTCACTGCCCTAAGGGGCTTACCCCATTACTTTGTGTTACTTTGTGTCATAGTCAGATATTTCTCTCTCTCTCTCTCTCTCTCTCTCTCTCTCTCTCTCTCTCTCTCTCTCTCTCTCTCTCTCTCTCTCTCTCTCTCTCTCTCTCTCTCTCTCTCTCTCTCCCTCTCCCCCCTCTCTCTCCCTCTCCCCCATACTGTTTGCTACCGTCTTCTCTCTTGCTAATTGGCAGTATGTGCCAGGCTTGAGAGTTGGCAACAGTCATTGTTTTTCATCCTTTGGATTATGTATTGGCCTCTTCATCCAAAAGTACACAGACCTCTGGTGTGGTTAATGCCGTCCTTCTGCGGGGCAGCTCATTAAGGAAGAAAAGCCAGCAGCAGTTTCTGCAGCAGCCCAGGGCTCCCAGGGGCAGGTGGGCTGCCAGGAGAGGCCTTTTTCTTGAACTGTGCCCCGAGCAGATTCCAGCAGGGCAGTTATGCTTCTGCCAACACAGAGTGGGCATTTGTGTTCTCTAACCACTGTATCAAGGGACCGAGGGTTTTTCTATTCCATCTCACTCTTCTGTGGGGGAAGAAATCTGGATGTCTCCAGCTTGTTCCTTTGCTTTGAGTCACGGAAGACAAAAATCACATACAAACTGGTTTGGCCTCCCACCTAGAGGTTCCTGTGGAGAATTTTCTTTCAGGCTCATTCAGGACATTAGTGGCTAAGTTCCTTGTGGGTAGGGAGCTAAGGCCTCTCTCTCCTTGCTGTCATCAGATGGGAGCATCAAAGAGCTCCTTAAGACTTCCTGCACGCTTATTCCCATTGCCATCCCAGCCAGCTCTGGGTCTCACTAACTTTCCCTTCTGCCCTATCTCTTCTGGTTCCAGTGGGGAAAGTCCTCTCTTTCAAAATGTTTCTATTATTAGCTTGAGGCCACCTAAGAAGGCCAGCTTTCTCTCTCTGATGTGAGGTGGGTAACCTTGGTCCCAGTGGCAAGCTCTGTCTACCACGGTGAGCAGCCTAGTGACAGCCTAGAGGAATTACTGGTAAAGAGGACATCTTAGGAAGCCATTCTGTTTACAGGAAGGTAAAGGATTCCCTATGTAGTGACGAGCCCAGGGTAAAGCAGGGCAGACGCAGCCCTAGCCAGCTCAGACATAATCCACTCTGACCGGTTCAGAGGAGATACGTTCAAAATTATGCACA